CAGGACGAGGATTTTATTGGGGGTTTTACCCTCTTTATGTCTTGTCTATCTCAATGAGATGGGTCTGTCATCTTGGGAGGTGAGCCCTTTTAATTTAATTAACCTGAAAGTGAGCTCCTGGGGCATGCCACGTGGCTCTAGGATGGACAAAATTTTGAAAACAAATTTTTTTTTTTTGAAAATTTAATCAGCAAAAACGACGCGGTTAGGAAAAAAATTAGCACTGCTGTTCGTGAGAAAACGGTCAATTTTGTTGAAATGGAGTTTCTGCGATAGATACACGGGGCTACTAGTCCCGTGCATATTTAAATACTTTAGCCATCGTGACCCTCCCCTCCCCTCTTTTCTTACCTCAATTAATCCACGACCGTTCTCGAGATCTCGCGACCCTGTCACCACAGATCTCGCGACCCCGCCGACCACGCTCGCCCTAGCCTCCGACCGCGCTCGCGATCCCAGCCTCCGTCCGTTTGCTTGGTATGGCTAATCATGAACTAGCATGCCAATTTTTTTGTTGGGTGGGGGCCCGCAATTAAACGCAAGCTTGACGCAGATTATCGCAAGGATTTGCAAGATCCTGTCAAATAAAGAGGTCTTTATTACGCACCAGGAGACATCTACTGACCAGCAAAAGCTTCAAATCTCCTCGTGTTCCGCTTTAAGTCGGCCTGAGACCAAAGGTGATGCCCAATTATCAGGGGTTTGCCCTTGTTTAGGGTACGAAGTCCCAGAGAAATAGAACCCCTCGTTAAAATTTTACAAATATATAAAACATATGGTGGGTTTATCCTTTAAACTAATGCAAATTATGCAGGTTAAATGGATATACTCTCACATAAAAGTTTGGCATTTTACAATATATAAAACCAAGAATGCTGCTACAAGGACCACAAAATAGGTGATCCTGAGTGGGACATGTGAGGGTGTCGCCTCCATGTCCCGTGATGCACTGTTTATGAACAGTGCATCACGGGACATTATGGAGGCGACACCCTCACATCTCCCACTCAGGGTCCCCGATTTTGGGGTCCCTGAGACATTTTTCTAAAACCAATGGTGGGTTTATCCTTTAAACCAACGCAAATTACGCAGGTTAAATGGATACACTCTCACATAAAACCATATGCCATTAAAATCTGTTTTCTTTTTTCCATCAAATTAAGGAAACAATAAAAAAATGATGCAAAGTATGCAATAACAGCTCTAGTTAGCTGCTGCCTGCAAGGCGCTGGCTAGCTCAGTACGTCAATCAGGATTCTCCCCCTTTAATTTCTTAAGGATATCTTTTCTTGTTGATATGCATGAAAACTAAATTATAATTAGCTTCAGAGCTAGCATAATCAGTCCTAAGCTGTAATGATACGATATTATTGTTTAAAAGGATCGATGGAGGAATAGATGCAGCAGGTTCTTAGATTCGTGCTGAAGCCTCCAGATTACAGCTTTGATTAATCAAAAATTCCCAGTGAGGAAAGGGCTTCTCTTTTAGAACGTTCGTAACGGAAGAACAACTTCTTTTCTTACCGCTTCAAAATCGGATCAAAACTAATCCCGGCTCGTGTTTAAACAACACTGGTTTTGTTTGGGATCAAAGTAAAGTTGTTCCCGAGTACTTATCATTTATTGGGTCGTAATTACTATAATTATTAGGTTCGGTCATCATAGCTGCTCGGAATCCACAAACCATTCCGACCGAATGGCTTGTCAGAATTTCTTCGAACATGTCGTTGGATTTATTTTATTGGTTTAGTTCTATCTAAACAGATTTTCTTCTCAAAATGAGACCAGATCAGAACCCGATCCCATTTTAAAAGAGTTTGCCAAATTACGATATACAAATTACGATTCAATACATTCAAACATTCTTTCTATAAACTTTTACATAATGATTTCATTAGTTAGAATGTACAAAATTCATGAATGTGCACATTGACCTCTCTCTAGTTCTCATGGCGGCAATTGAAAGTTGCGTCCTGTCAACAGAAACGGATATAAATTGATTCTACCTCCTCTGTTCTAGTCATCATCATTGATAAATTGTCTCTACCCTTAAATTTCAAAAAACATTATTCCTGCATCCTGATCTATACGCCTACGCTTCAACTTTATAAACTCTAAGATTTGCAATTTGAATCTGAATTTAAATTTTAATATGAGATTACGTCGGAGGACCAAAAACCATAAAAAATTATTAGAGGAACATATATACAACCTAAATTCTCATATAGAAAACTTAAAACAACACTCATAACAAAGCTGAAAAATTTTAAACTGTTTTTGGATTTTTTTTTTCCCCATAGAAACAACCTTTAAAATAAGATTAATTTGCAAAAACCACTTTATAGTTCTAATTTATACAAACCACTTTTAAAGTATTTTTGAACCACCTGAGCCTACTTTCCACTTAATTTTTTTGGGTAATTTACCTCACCTGACCTCAATTAAGAACCATCTCTCTTGAACCACCGGAGCCTACTCCCCACTTAATTTTTTTGGGTAATTGACCCCACCTGACCTCACTTAAGAACCATATCTCTCAAATGCTTAGTTTCTAATAACTAATTATTACAGTTAAACCGAAAAAAAAAATTGACTTAAAAATGGACCCAGGTGGTTACCGCAACAAAAAAAAGAAGCAATTTAAAGATTGCTTATGTATAAATTTAAAAAAAAAATCAAACATAGTTTTTTTCTCTCTATAGAATGAGCATATTTTAAGGCGGTTTCTATAAAATAATCATTTTTTAAAACAAAGTTACAAGAGAATAATTCCCTGGTGTTAAATAACAAGGAAAGTTCGATAAAACTAGAAGATTCACAGATAAACTTTGTACGTCCACACATAAATTTTCAGGTTCAATTTTGAAATTTCCCTAAGACCCTACGCTTCAACAGCAAGCTCCATGAGGCTTTTCAAAGATATCCTAGCTTTCGTTACCCATGATTGGATTATTAAGGTGGAAATTAAAGTTGGGAAATCAAACCGAAGAATGCCAATGATTTTTTGACCGAGTTATTATATGCATGATGGATTTGATCAAACATATTAGGTAGTATACTAATATAGAAATGTTAGGGGCACACCCCCAACCACAATCTCAACCACACCTCCTCTCCCTCTATAGTGCATTAGGTCCCACATCAATTTTTTTTTTTTAAATTTGATGTGGGGTCCAATGCACTATAGAGATAGAGGAAGTGTGGTTGTGGGTGTGCCCCTAACACCACTCATACTAATATCGAGGGACAAAGACCGGAGGCACACCGAAAGAGGGTTCGCAATACAGCTCATTGAGCATTAGATTCCCCTCCAATAATTCTGTACAGAAATTATATTCTCCATTTTGTTGAAGGAAGAGAATCCGATCACGTCAGCATAAGACAATTCCTCAGAACGTGGGGCTTTGCCACTGCCTTCTCGTTCACACAAGACGACCATATTATTTCAGTAATTTTTAATACTATAGTTTTTTTTAAATGACATAGTGATTTATTAAATGCTACAGTATTTTGCTTTAAGTTACAGCCTTATTACTGCAGTACTTTACTGTGACTGTGATGTTTAATGTAGTATAAATAGTGAATATTTGAATCTTCTAATAAGCACGGAGAAGCAGATTATTTCTAGATATAAGACTGTGAAAAAATATATATCCCACAAAGGGGCCTTAAAAAGAGTTTTTTTTTTTAAATGAAAACCATTTTTCAAATAGATGAAATCAATGAAAACCATCTTAGATCTCGTCTTATTACTCTCCGCCGGCGAAGATCGCGGGAACGTTTCATCGGAATTGAAGGAAACCGCTGTGTCGACATCGGAATTAACCACTCGATACGAAACCCTCCTCCGTTCTTCGAGGGGACGGACGGCTTCAAGGTCAAAAGGTGGCATTACATGGGATGGTTTGGGTCGCTATGCAGAAGAATCTCACTTATAAGGGTTGTTTATATCAAAAAGAAAAACATCAAAAAGTTGCTTCAACAAAAAATTTCACCTATTTAAAGGGGGTTACCATGAAAGAAAGCCCCATAAAAAATAGTAGAAAAAGGAACCAAAGCGCGAAAGTGTGTGCGATCAATTTCACGTCAATGCAAACAACTAAATATCAGTAAAATATAATATTGCATAGATCCCAGCAATATAAAAATCAATGCAATTAATAACTGTACAAGTGTTCTGTTGGTTTTTCTCACAAGACCGCATGACCGGCTATGAGAAATTATTAAATCTCTAGATTAAAAATGGCAAAAATATCAAATTGATATATTTTATTTATCCTTAGTGACCGTTTGATATATTTTTTTAAAAAATTCTTCAAGGACCCAAAATATGGGACCAATAGAGGGGACAAGTGAGGTGTCTCCCTCCTATTGGATAATAAGTTGGTCATCATTAATGATGGCCAACTCACTATCCAATAGGAGGGGGACACCTCACTTGCCCCCTTTATTGGTCCCATATTTTGGATCCCTGTAGCAAAGCTTTATTTTTTTGGCGACATACTGATATATTATATTTTCTCTGGCGACATATTGGTATATAATATTTTTTCTTCGGCGACAAATGAGCCTTAGATTTAGCCGGACCCAAATTTCTTGCAAAAATTTTCACGTGACACCTCATGTGATGCGAATGTGGCTGCCAGCGTGGCTCCCAATGGCAAGCAATTACAACTAATTTCATCTAAAACCATCCCCTTCTCCATCACTCTTTTCATAAACCCAATAACTTCATCTATCTTCCCACATTTTCTCAAGCTCTCCATTAATGAGCTACAAGTCACAATAGCTATATCCTCATTCCCGTAGTTGCATATAGCTCTGACTAACACGAAGCAATCGAACCCATCACGTATCGCTCCTTTCGCCAAGAAACCCATCAAAATGTCCCACATTTCTAAAGCTCTCCCTTCTCTTCAAAGCCCATTGATCAAAATCTCGCAAGACGCCACCGAAAACGATTCGAGCTACCCATAAGGATGTTAAAAGTGTACGCATCGGGCTTGACCCGATCTTGAATCATGACGTGGTATCATTGTAGAGCTTGTTGGTGTTAATTGTGTTTGGCGAAGGCGGAGATGATGAGGTTGTAGAGGGAGGGGGCAAGTCGAAAGTTGAGGGAAGATTTAAAGAGGTTAAAGTTATGGGAGGCATCGGAGAGGCGAGAGGAGCAAATGAGGGAAGAGAGGGAGAGGTGAAGGAGGAAGGAGATTAAGGGGTTAAGGTTTGTGATCAGAGCTGATTTATAATGCTAGAAGCCACGCTGACAGCCAAGTTCGTACCACATGAGGTGGCACTTGAGAAATTTCGCCGGAAAGTTAGATCCGACCAAATTTAAGACTCATTTGTCACCGAAGAAAAAAATAATATACCAATACGTCGCCGGAAAAAAAACCAAACTGTTACTAAGGACAAATAAATTATACCAATTTGATATTTTTGCCGATTAAAAATAGAAAGAAAGCATAGCGGCTCGTCACCTAATTTTGCAAAATAAAATAAAAAATATATAAATGATAGGCCGATATTCTCCAATGTGACTAATAAAGTGAGACTAACTACTAATATATTTGCTAATAACTCAATAAAAAATGAACCGCAAAATAACACTCATTTATCCACTACAGATTAAAAAATTTGCTCCTCGCCCTAAAGTAGATGGTGGCATAAAGAGCGACTCTTAAAAGCAAAAATTGCTTTCTCACCCCTCCTTTTCCAGGCCTCTGATGTCGTAGTCGTAGACAACAACGCCTGCCTACGACAACTATGTGGTCAACCGCACAAAAACCGATGATTTCTGAAGAATTGTCCTGAAAAGAACAGCATTCTACGAACTTCTAGTTTCAACTCAGGCAGCTTCCATGACAAAAGCCCACAGGTTTTCGGGGATCATTAAATTATGCGTGTAAGCCTATGGTTCTCTGCCTCTTATACAGAAAGGTTCTGTTAAAACACAGTGTAGTACAATGAATCTGAAACTTATTTAGCATGCAAGTTTGAATTTGCACAGATCAAGGATTTATACAATGAAAGGGTTCGCGAAAGCCATGAGAAAGGTAAATTTACAGATGTGAAGAGAAGTAGAGACAAAGCAGTATTATTCCCAATCAGAATCAAAGAAACCGGCATCCTTCATCTCAGAGTAGTATACATTCTCCAGACGCATGTCCTCTTCCTGTATCAGTACCAGATAAAATAAATATCAACAGATGCCTGATTATATGTTATGAAATATTAAACCATATAAAGCTTTCGATGCTGCTAACCTGGAAAAAGTCGGCTAAAAATGTCACATATAGGAGAGGAAGATACAGAGAGTGATAGCAAATGGCTACAAGATCAAACAGCCTGCAGAGAGGATTTCAAATTAGACAATTTGCCAGCAGATTCCTTAACAAATGCAATTTTTTTTATATATTTAAAGATGTAGTAATAATACCAGAAACCAAAACCAGATCCGTTTGCAACAAACACGCAGGCAAAAAGTGATAAAATATTCACCAAGAACATTGCACAGATGTATTTGTAGAAGGCAGGCTTAGCTGTAGAGGGGAAACAAAAACATTACAGGGTGCACTGAGGCAAGTATAAAAATGAAAAATATAGCTACAGAAGTGAAAATAAGCATCACCTGGTAACCTTTCTCTCCATTTCGAGTGATACACGAACAAAATGAAACCATAAACAACACTAAGCAACAGCTTGTGGAGAAGCCATAAACCCCATTTCATCGGATTGCCCTTCTCATGATCATCAATGAACAGGGGAACCCCAAAACCAAATACATAGATAGCCTGAAAAGTTGGCACAAAGTGGCACTCAATAGCAAATATGATATCCTACATAAGTAAATATACACATTTAACTAAGAGTTAATCATCAAGACTAGGTGAAAGATATCATTTTCCTTTTCCCTACTTCACCTGACATTCCATCTCAGTTATCCATGAAAGGGAACCCCAAAACAAAATATATATAAACAGCTTGATATGTGGGCATTTATTTCTCACTTTAATAACAAACATGATATCCTAGACAAATAAATATACAGGTACAAGTAAGAGTTAACAAGACTAGAAGAGAAGTGTCATGTGCTTCCTCCCTATTTCACCTGTCATCCATTTTGCTAACGAGTGGACAAGGGAACACCAAAACCATATATGTAAACAGTGTTTTCAAATGCGCGCGCCTCATTGCGCCTCATGCGCCTTACGATGCGGGGCGGTGACGATGCGCCCCACATCTGATGCAGCAGCGCCTTTTGCGCCTCGCGTACATCCGTACTTTGTGTAGGATGCATGTAGTGCATTTCCTCACATAGTTTTTTTTGTTAACATTATAATCGAGTCTTTATACTTGATATTCCATATCCCAAAAAACAAAATAAATCCATTGTGCTTTTTTAATAACCTTCAATTGAGGACCATTACTAATCCTTAGTTTGGATATAAGTCTTGATTTAACATTTGATTTGAAAATTTATGAAATTTGCTACTATGTTGGGTGTTAGCATTAGAAATTAAGGCAATATATTGTGATTTTGTAGCAAGATATTATTTATCATGATATTTTTTATGTAAATTCTAAAAATATGTTCTTTCGTGCTTGATTACATATATTGAAATATTATGTGTGGTGTGCGCCTCGCATCACTCGGGCGCGCGCATCGCGTTACACCTTGCGCATGTGCGCGTAAAGATGCTTTGCGCTTCGCATTGCGCCTCGCGCATTGAAAACACTGTATGTAAATAGCCTGAAACATGAGCGATAATCAAAGATGTTCCTCTTTGGATCTCTCGTATCTCTTCTTATCTCTCTTCTTGGTCATCTCCTTCATCTCCAGTCCCTTACCATCCTATTTAACTTTCTCTAAAGAAGGATTTCACCTCCATCCCCTAATCTCAAGACCAACAGAATTTCTTGTACCACCAGAAATAAGTTATTTCTTCTGTCCAGAGAAAACTGTACAATACGTGTTGTTTTCCTATTATAATTTTCTTCACCGGGCTTTCTGTGCCTTTCTTTCTCCATTTCAGATAGTATGCATGCTAAGTGAGAGTTCAGTATCCTATGGGGAGACAAAGGATGGATCCAGATATGAAATGAAGTCCATAATTTGAAGCTTCATGGAAGTTGACTAAATTCCACGATCTACTGTTAGCGTTCCACCAACTCTCTTAGGGGAGGCAGAGTATTGTCAAGGAACCCAAAAGCAAAAGAACAGAATCTAGGAGCAAAAAACACACATATAAACAAGCACAAATACATATACCTTACAAAAAGGTTCACATTGACAGCAGAGCTATCGAAAAGATATCCTCTTAGAAAAGTTAAAAACTTGAAAACTTAAACTTGTTAACTAGCAGCAGAGCAGTATGGTGCCTAGATCATATCCTTCCTATTTTTCGTTGAACATACCATGTTTTGGACCTCTTGCCTCCAGTTTACATGTTTAATTCTTATGGCAGCCTATATACAGAGTCAATACATTAAAAATAGTGAGATCAGGCTGACAAGCAGAGCATACCTTAAGTAGCATGTCCCCAGCAACGACGACTCCTGAGACGGCAAATGTACGTGTTAAAGCATCAGACCCAGTAGCATGATTGCCATGAAGTAAAAAGGCCACTAAGCTAACTTCCAGGAACAACATTCCTGAACTTGTAAACAATGACAACATATTCCATGATGACTGCTTAGCAGGGTTGCATTGCATTGCCTGTTCATGAAAGAGAAAGTTCATCTAATAGTAAGTCAAGGTGAAAACAGTCAAAGAAAGTTTGTTAAATTGGTTCAGTAATTATAGAATATTGGAAAAAAAAATATGTTAAAAATGAGCTCTGCCCCTATACACGTAAGAAGATCCTGCAACAGAAGTTAACTGAAAGTAACTTTGCATCTCCACAAAGACTCTACATCCAATATAAAATACAAAATAGAAAATATCCAGAATTTAAATAACTAGAAGAAGTTTACTGCAGAAGTCCAATAGTGACGTCTGACGTGTAATATCATTGACATCCAAGAAAATACCATAAAAATGATAGATTTATAGAATGTTAATGCATAAACAATAACAATTATGCCTAGAAAGGTCCCTAGAATTCATTTAACATATAGGAGACACAGATCTTCAGAATACTTCAGCTTCTTCTATATCTCCTACAGTCATTGGCGATATAACAGCAGACTGGCATAGTGTTGCATGGAACCCATCTGGTTCGCGGGACGGGTACGGAAGCATGGTACGCCACTCATTAGGAATTGGGTACGAGAGGTGTAGGCTTATACAGCACACCAGGAAACGTGGTACGCTTTAGGTTCGGTTCTTAAATGTAGGAATTAGAGGTTTTGCAAGAGTCAAATTTAAGAGATATGCTAGTTGATATCAGTAATGGTAAAAGAACCTTAAAAATCATGTTGCAATTAAGGTATGTGTACTTTATTTGCTTGATTTCTCAAGTTTTTTCTTGTTTATTCTTTTAAAAAAGAGTTAATTTTCCCCCAAAATTTTACTGCATTGAATTCTAAATCGGGTCACTAGAATTGGTGAATCAGGTCCTATTCCATGCGAATCTAGGACGATTGTCGCAGTTCGCTATAGCATCCCACGTTGCTGATTTCTATGGTACGGCAGCCCATAAACTTCGGCTTGATAGTTACAGAAGGTGGTTCTTCACATATTGATGACAATTATCTTGTTCTAGCAGCTTCAGTGGGTCTTTTGTCATCAGCAGGTTGCTAACTCCTTTTGCTGATGTCGTTTTATCATGATGCTGTTACCCATGTTTCGGCTGTTGCAGGTTTGGTCATTTGGTTAAAATCGTAGCTAGTAAGCATTCGACTTACTGCTTTATGCCTTTATATAGGCAATATTTGTTGTAGCTTAAGCTTCTGACTCCCTTCTATTATCACCAGTCAATAAATAGATAAGAATGCTAAGATACCATCAAACTGTCATAGAACCTCCTAGGTCTTTTTTTTTGGGCATTGCTTTCTTAACTACTTTTATGCATTAATAATTCTAAAGATAATTCATATACACATGACAGAAATGTACTAGATTGTTATTAATAAATATGTTATAGGAATAGATGGACATCAACAAGCTAATTGTGAGACTCCCAAAGTGAGGTTACTTAACATCGATTTTAAAGAGAAATGTGTAATCACTCCTTTAGCTGAAGGATTCTTTTGATATACACCTTCCACTAGCTGCCTCTAATTCAAGATGCAACCTTAGGCCCTGTTTGGCAAAGGTTGAAGGAACAGCAATTAAGAAGCGTTAACCTAGTTAGCCCCCGTTTGTTATTCCCAATGATTAAATTTGTTAACCCATTAGATAAGAGTTATTTTTGTCATTGTGATCTTTTTTAGTGTTTTGGAACAATGAGGATTACTATAACCAGTTATAAATAAAGAGGTTATTTCTCAACCTGTCTAAAAAGGTGGTCAGGAAACACCCTCAATTTGAGGTTCTAACTCAGTCAAGAAGAGTTATCTTAACCCTCTTCTAATTTTGTGTGGCAATGTAAGACGGGCTACCTCAATTAACACCTCATGTAAATATTTTGTGTAGCAGATAAAGGAGTGAATAACTCCCCTTAATCTCTCACTTACGGCAGGTTTTGGGTACAAAAGAGGATATGGAAGGGGAATGATTATAGTAAAATCTCAAAGGGAGGGAGTGGAAAGGGAGTGGATGTGATAGAACTACCTGCGCTTGGATAGACAACTAGGAGAAGAAAGGGATGCACTATGATTGTGTTTGTTCAGAGTAGGGAATAGGAAGAGAGGGAAACTACATGACAAATATAGCTTAAGTCTAGCGATAATATTGTAGTTTTAAGAAAAAATCACTTAAAATTCAATCCCTCCCCTCCCATTACGTCCACTTTTGGAGAGTTAGGAAAGTGGAGAAATTTGCTTCCTTTTAACCCTCTCATCCCTTCCCCTCACTTGCTAAAAGAAGTAAATAAACATAATATTTGGGTGGTTGGCATTATAACCTTCTCAAGTACTCCCCTCCCCTCTTAAAAAAAGCTATCCAAACTCACCCTAACCTGTTTTTAAACAGCACTTTATGATTCTTTATATATAAAGGAAATTCATCAAGACTCTCTAGTAATCAATACTATGCTTATAAAACAACAACGCCCCCATTCATTGACACATGTCAAGTAACCAAACAACACTACATACAGGCTTCCTTCACCCTTTCATCTCCTTTTTTTTCCCCTTTTAATCTTCTTGCCCTTTATTTATTTATTTATTTTGCTTTCCCAGTTCGTATTTAATGTATGCTACGACTGATGCCTCTTATTGCATCAGCCAGATCTCTCTTTTATCCTTCCAACTTCTTGGAAATTTATACATCTATATTACTCTTAATAATTCCCCAAATTCAAAGGCAACCTTTCTCTAAGTCAAAATAATTTCCGATTACCATTCAAATTCTTTGCAGTTAAAGTCATTCTCTCTAATTACTCAAATGCAAGCCCGTTCGACGCTAGCCTATTCATATGCTTTCCAATTAGAGTTAAAGAATAAATAGTCATCGCAATGCCAATCCCCCTCATGGCTCTTCTCTGCAGTACTCTGCCTTTCACCTTTTGCTTTTAAAAATTTCTATTTTCTGCATAAGAGCTTTTTAGTCTCTTGCTGTCGAGGAACTCTAATTTGTTGCAGCATTATTTGCTATTATACTTAGCTTTCACATGCAGCAGTGATTAAGATGACTATTTCCATTTAAAGATGAAGATGTTCACCTATATGTTAAGTTAGTGGAGTACCTGTTGAGCGCATGTCATACTGGATGTCTTATATATCGCGTTTATGTTTTTTTTTAATTGAATATGACTATTGTTCTGGCATTGTCATGACACATTTGGTTATTTTATCATATCAATAATTACTTTTTCCCCTTGATTGTTATGTTGGCTACCCTTATCCTTGCTGTGTGGTTACCATTTATATTTTCATTATGATTGCATTTCTCTTTAAAAACTTCCATTATTGAGATATTGTTCTACCTATGTCGAAATTACGATTGCATGACTTAAATTTGTATGAACTTTATTTTGTAGCGTTTCATGAATAGGGAATATAACTTACTCTTGCCAACATATTGTTTGAAAAAAATTTATCATAATAATTCTGTGAATAGGTATTTTTCAAAACATAATATTGTCACACTGTCACAGTATAATTGCAATGATAATATTATACTACTAATTCTTCCCGTGCATTGCATGGGGGAAAAATCTAGTTTTAACCAAGAAACTTCCACATACTTTATTCAAACAAAATGTTTCTAGTTTTTGTTTCCACTTCCCTTTTCAATGTGAAAATCCATACATGGTTTTATTCCTTTCCTTCGTTGTATCCTCTATAGAACAAGTTCCTCGTAAAGAGCAAAATGAATATTTCAGTTAATAAAATAATGGGTATGCGGTGTTGGCTCATTTTGTTTAGTGAGGTACTAAGAGATAGACTAGTAGCAAGCCCATCATGCAAGTCATATCGGAGTAGGTGCCTGTGGACATAACCACTCTAAATCTCTAGGTAATTAACTTTGCTAATTGAAGTTTCCACTCATAGCCAATATACCCTTCATATTAAAATCCACCATTGTATACTACCATGCCCATTAAGGAAAGAGTTACAACACCAACTTAGCAACTTATCATTATAGCTTTAATGGGTTTTTTCCCCGTATATGTCTATGGTCACAAAGAAAAATGAAAATGAAGATAAACTGAAATAGATAAGAAACATGCAAAATCTCTCACTCTTTGAATCATAATTTGACAGATTCCGGCACCAAACATCTCCTGGCTCACTTACAAAGGTTACTATACTAGAGAAACTTGCTTTTGACCTCAAAATGCTGAAAAATTAAAGAGCATACCAAAATAATTGTTCACAAGTGATTTGTAATTCTTGTTCTTTACTCTTTAGATCTATTACCATAGATATAAACCAACCAAGCTAGCACAACATTCAGGGTTATATCTTTTATGGTCTTTTATTTTACTTCTCCACATCTGGAAAAGAATTTATAAGTCATTGTTTACAGAAAGCTAGTGTTGCCGCTGAAATTTGAATGTTTTCTTATTTTATTGCTCTTTATTTGGAGTATTTCTTGGTATGTTTTATAACTGATAGCATATTATTTAGTATAAATGAGTGCATAACCCTCATTGCTTTAGTCTATATTTTTTGTTTTTCATAAAAGAAGGTCAAATATGTCTCTTTCATTTTAATAGAACATATTGCTAAAGTCTATAGTAATGTTCTCAGCAATGAAGAAAATAAGACATTTAAGATTTTCTTTTAGATATGATTAGATCTACATAGAAGCAAAATCATCTAGTACTTTTCACAGTTCATTTGCATTAAAAATATTTGAGTTGTTTGGTTCAAATGCCATATTTGTTTGGTTCAAATGCCATATAGAGCTAGCAAAAATAGCTCCAATATGAGGAGATAGAACAGTCGCATTTCAGCTGACCTACAAGCACAGCTATTGTAAACTCTAAAAAACCTCCCATATCTGCCATATTTATCTTGGAACTAGTTGCAATTGCAAATAAAAGGAGCTTCTGTTTTCTTAATTAGAGTCCACTATTATACTTTCTTGGATTATCTTCTCAAAAAAATAATTTCTTAGATTATACCCTATGATAAGCCGCATATCTTCAGTGAGATAGCCTTGTTCGAACAAATAGAGACTAGA